AAAAATATTTTTAACTATTAATGTTGGTTTCTATAAAATCCATTGTTAAAAATGAGGTGTTGGCAACGTTATAAATAAATAAAAAAGAATTGACATCAGTTAATATAAATTGACGTCCAAAGTTGTTTCAGCGCCAATTATAGTGATAACTGATGTTGAAAGATCTATTTTTCACGTTGATTGTTCAATAATTAAAAAAAATAAAAAATGCATGTTTCAACGTCAGTTAAAGGATAACCATTATTAGAACTGATGTTAAAAGTATAAAATAGCCATTGTTAAAAGTTTGTCCTGTAGTAGTGCCATTAGATTTATTAACTTCTATCAACCCTAACCAACTTCATTAAACTCCTAACTTATCATTAATGGCATCCAAACCTTTCAAACCACCCTATTTGTTTTGAAAATTCAACCAAAAATGCCTTCTCAGCAATCAAAACATGTAAACCTATAATTCTTAGGTTTAAATACTTCAAACAATCTCATTAACTCTATTTAAGTCAATGAATTTGGACCCATAATTTATATAGATCAAAAATTAACTTTCATCAACAAACCCTGACCTAAAACTTAAGAAAATGGGTTGGGAAGGAAGAAGAAAGAGTTAAGAAGCTTACTATTAGGTTTAATAGCTTCAGGATGCCCCCAAACCTTTATAAACAGAGGCCCTAGTAGAGCTCTCTAATTGCTCTTCATTTTCTCCTTCTCAAATTTATGTTTTCTCTCTCCTTTTCGAACTGAAACTCAGCTTATTACTGTCAGCCACAACATGTGACACAGAGAACTCTTCTTCATGTGTTTATGACTCTTGTGCTGTAGTACATGGCACATAAACACTTTCTCTTATTGTTTCCCCCTTCTTAAGGTTCGGGCATCTTAACTCGTCTCTAAACCTAATTTTAGAGATGAAATTATAACACAAAACATTCATTAGAATCCTCTAACCACATGTCACATTACTTTAATTAATTAATCCTAATTTGATATAGTTAATAGGGGTTTGATTTTTTAAGATGTTACATAAAAAAAAAAGATATATTAGAACCTTTATTCAGTGTGTTAATTATTTCTCTAAATTTGATTTAGGAAAAATTAACCATTAGGTCCTATAGTTTTGACCCGTTTATAAGTTAATCATTGAATTTTGACTCGTTATAACTCAATTCTTATATTTTAACTCAATTTTAACTCAGTCTCTAAACTTTATTTCTTGCAATTTAGTCTTTATAATTTCAACTACTTAAATATTGATCCCTATACTTAAAAAAATAAAATTATAAATATTAAAAAAATATTTTGAACATTTAATATTTATAATATTTATAAAGATTAAAAGGGTTTAATAATTTAAAATATTAGTAATAAATTTTAACATAATTTTAATCTCTACAATTTTATTACTAATATTATAAATACTATAGATATTAAAAGTTCAAACTATTATAAATATTAAAAGTTTAAAATATTATGATTTTTATCTTTTAATCTTTAAATATTATAAATATTAAATGTTTAAAATATTTTTAATCTTCATAATTTTATTTTTTTAAAATATAGGGATCAATATTTAAATGGTTGAAATTATATAAACTGTATTGCAAGAGATAATATTTAGGGACTGAGTTAGAACATGATTAAAACTATAAAGAGTAAGGTACAATGAGTCAAAATTTAGAAACTGAATTACAATTAGGTCAAAATTACAAAGATTAGAGGATTAATTTTTTCTTTAATTTATTTTGATATTTTCTAATTGACTGAACAGCTTCTAAATTGAATAATTTTGAAATTCTAAAAATGTTAGCTAATTTTAGTTAAATTCATTTATTTATGTAAAGCTCTACAAACTATTCAGAGATTCCATGAAATTCACACAATATTTCAAAGTCCTATGCATTTCCAACTTAGGCAAAGTGCATTTCTAACTAATGCCCTTGGCCCAGTTATAAATGCCCTCTGCCAAGTTGTAAATGCTTATGATTTGAGATTTGTGAGTATTTTATGAATTTTATAGGATCTCTTAATAATAAATTCTCTTCTATAGAATCATTTTTAACAAATTAAACCCCTCCGACCATGAGAGATGGTTCCTATGAGTATTTTGTTGGAGACTGATGTGGATGAAATGTTTAAAATATTTTTAATTTTTATAATTTTATTTTTGAAAATCTAGGGATTAATATTTAAGTAGTTGAAACTATAAAGACTGTATTACAAGAAGCAATGTTTAGGGACTGAGTTAGAATATAATTAACACTATAAGGATCGAGTTATAATGAGTCAAAATTTAGAGACTGAATTACAACTGTGCCAAAATTACAAGGACTAAAAGATTAATTTTTTCTTTAATTTATTTTGATATTTTCTAATTGACTGAACACTTCTTAATTGAATAATTTTGAAATTCTAAAAACATTAGCTAATTATTTATGTAAAGCTCTACAAACCACTCAGAGATTCCATGAAATTCACAAAATATTTCCAAGTCCTATACATTTACAACTTAGGCAAAGTGCATTTGTAACTAATAACCTTTGCCGAGTTATAAATACTCATAATTTAAGATTTGTGAGTATTTTATGAATTTTATAGGGTCTCTTAATAATAAATTCTCTTCTATAAGACTAATGTATAATATTTTCAACAAATTAAACCCCTCTAACTATGAGAGATGGTTCCTGTGAGTAATTTGCTGGAGACTGATGTGGATGACCAGTAGGTTGCCATGCAGGCATGTGTAGTTAAGTTGTTTATCCATATCTTACTGCATTATTAAGAGTTCATTAATTCCACATAGCAAATTATCAAATATGAGATTCAAATTCCAACTGTTATAAAAAAATTGAATCAAAGTCTAACATGTGATAAGTTATGTATATGTAAGCATACATCTCTCTTATTTACTTGTTTTAGACCACCATATAAATTGCCTTCTAGAAGTGTTGCTTAATTCAAAATATAGGGCTTTAGGTAAGTGTTTTTCTCAATTACACCCTTATTTTATTGAGTAATTAATGAGAGTATTTAGAATAAATCAAATGTTATCTTTATTATATTCAAGAGTATGGTTACATAAACTAGTTGCCAATGACTTATATTGTAGTGCTCAAATTGCTGAGGAATACAGTTGCATTGACAGGCCTGGGAAAAGTAGAATGTTCGCGTCAATAGGAAATGTAAAAATCCTAAGAACTAAATTGAACATAAGCTAGGTAAATCCAAGTCACAAGGTCACAATGATGCAAGGGTTTCAAGCATTAAGAGCATATGTGTTGTTAAAGTCTTTGGAGCGTTGATTGTCTCCATTTCTGATCGTCCTTCTCCATTAATCTAGGAACAGTCATGCCATTATATTTTGAAAATGTAACTGTTCCCAAACGAGGCTTATTACTGGTGGTACAATAATGTGAAGTTTTTATATTGATATGTAGACAAGATTTGAATTTATTTACTATACTTAGTATCAGCACTGAATGTCTATACTATTTAAACTATCAAAATTTGGATTAACGGTCTAGATAAATTCACCTCCTCATTAATTTTGAGTGGAGTGTAAATTTAGAATTATTAATCTTAATTTTAATGGTTTAAATAGGATTGAGTGCTTATGCTAATTATAGTCACCGAAAGTAGATGAACGGATTTTTCACAAGTACTGGCTGAAAGAGAAAATGAAAGGAAAGGAAGGGCTAGATGGAGATATGCAATGTTGGAGTTTTGTTTTGCGGAACTGATACCGTTGGAGCAGGGGCCTTAACTTGAAAAGAACGGCACGTCGCTCGCAACCATAAAGCCAACGGCCAATAGAAAATGAAGAGAGCAACATTCCTTAGCTTTTACTTCTCTCCAACATAAAGTTACTCATCATTCCGATTTGTTTTCCAAAATCTTTGCCGTTCCATTCCACTTAACAACTCTGCCTTGCTTAGTTTAATGCCAAACAAGCATCGTCACATGCTTATATGTCTGAAAAATCATTCACATTCAAATAATTCTTGCAACCAGTCCAAGAAGAGCTAAAATAGAATTTGACTGTCTTCTTTTTAATTCTCTCCAATTCTATCTAGATGGTTAGTACTGCACTTCTTTTTTAAAAAAATTAATTACTTTAAGAATTTAAATGATTTTCGTTAAAATACCTCACCAAAAAAACTAAAATGAAAAATTGAACACTTGTTATTATTATTCAGGTATAAATTGTTTAAAAAACCACAGAAATTAGCTATATGCCCATCAATTCCATCATATCTAAATGATTATTAAAATTTATGTTTGTCGAATTTTAAATATTTCAATACATGGCAAAAAAATTATTCTCCACATTGGAGGCATCGCAACAACTTTATTGCAGTTTTTTAGTGCTTGAATTTACTGTCGAAGGTTTTTACTTCTAACGGTTTTGCACATCAGATGAATAGAGGACAGACACCTCTTCAAGTATTTATAAGCTTTTCCTGCGCTGCTTGCAAAATTTAATATCCTAATTAGTTAGCTTTATCTATGCATTCATTTAATTTTTTTTTTAAAAAATTGCAAAACAAGGAGGATAGGTTGATAAATCCAACCTCCTAAGGTTAATTGCTAGAATATATGTGAATCCACGAGAATTTGCAAATCGCTCGCTAAATTCAAATATCATTTTAAGTTTTCAACTTGAATAGGCATTTAGAAAGTGACATTTTTACAATAAAGTCAAAACACGATAAATTCAGTGTACTTTAATCAAATCTAAAGGGAACTAATCTCAGCGCGTGCAAAAACGATGGTTAAGCTAAGCTAATTAATGGAAACTATAACTTATCAAGGTTCCATTACACATTAGGATATATATATATATATATATATATCTTTGACTTGAAGAATCTAGGCTGTGTGTCTCTCTGGTGATGAAGAGAGGAGGTTCAGGCTTGAGTCTCAAGCATGGCCACTAGCCCACTACTGTCTGACCATCAAGCACACAGGCTTCTACTCTGAAACTGATAGACAACAACGTTGTGTCTACCAAAGAGCAACCTCAATATACCTCCTCCCTCTTTCAAGTGACTGAGACTAGGACCAACCCTTTGCACGAGCCTTTCATCTCACTCCTCTCTCTATCCCTCTCTCTTCATTGAACTCCGAGATCATATAATATCTCAAGTGGTTAACCATGGATCATGATATGGAATTAAAACATACTCTCACATACAGCCCAGAACTACTTCTGATGTGAGAAAGACAACCCTCCATCCGACACCAATTCTCTCTAACCAGTTTCTTCCAAGACACACCCATCCCACCAAACCCCATCCGTCTATCACATACCTCCCTTTCAAATTCATGTTCTTCATTCCCCTCTCTCTATCTCCCCCTCTATCTCTCCATCCTCAGGCGTTCTATCTCTCTCTCTCATGCAGCCTTTTCGCAGAAAGAGTGCTCCTCTTTTCAGCTTCGAAGCAGGGATAATGAAGGCCCGCAAGAACAATAACCTCCCAATCTTTGTTGTCGTCTTTTCTGTCATTCTCTTCGGGATCTTCATGTACAACGAGGACGTTAAGTCCATCGCTGAGTTCCCATTCTCAAGAACTAAAGCTCAAGAAATCCAAGAAGGGAAAGCAGATACAGAAACAGAATCAGTCGACCCTGTTCGAAAGGATGCTATTGGCGAGACAGGCGTAGACGACTCTGCCGTAGTTGACCCTGTTCGAAGAGACGTCAAGGAGGAAGACGTAGATCGTGAAATCGCAACCGTCGCAGATTCCGGGAAATCAGAAGATCAGTTGGAGAAAACCCAGGAAGACGATTCCGATGAAGCTCAAGAACAGGTTGTTGATTCAGTCGTGTCCAAAGAAAAAGATGAGAAGATCGAGTTGCCGGGTGTGAAGGAGGAGGAGGATGACGATGATGACGAAGAAGATGAAGTTGTTGAGTTACCTCCAGAGGATTGTGATTTGTTTACAGGGGAATGGGTCTTCGATAACGTGACCCATCCTTTGTACAAAGAAGAGAAATGCGAATTCTCACTTCCCAAGTGACCTGCATGAAGAATGGTAGACGTGATTCTCTGTATCAGAACTGGAGATGGCAACCCAGAGACTGCTCTTTACCCAAGTATTCAATTCTCTTTGATTTTCTTTACCCTCTTTATTGTAACGTTCTTTATTTTATTTTTTTCCCCTCATCGAATCCATCCCTGTAACATCTTTCAGGTTCAAACCAAGATTGTTGCTTGAGAAGCTCAGAGGTAAGAGGCTTATGTTCGTTGGAGACTCACTGAACAGAAACCAGTGGGAATCAATGGTGTGCATGGTCAATGCTGCGAACCCATCAGGCAACAAGACCTGGTACAAGACTGGCTCTCTTGCTATCTTCAGTATCGAGGTTCGTCTTGCTCTTCTTCAATTATAACCCTTAATCAAATCACTGTTAGCTAGAATAAAGAATTAATATTTCTGTTCATAAAGAGAGGGATGGCCATTTGTGATGTGTTCATTCAATATAATTGGGCCTTTCACTGCAAGCAATGGTTTTGATTTGAGAGATCTTGCTTAGGTTTCACTCCATCTCTGTGTACGTGCAGGACTACAACACTACAATAGAATTCTACTGGGCCCCATTTCTAGTGGAGTCAAATTCAGATGATCCAAACATGCACAGCATATTGAACCGCATAATCATGCCTGAATCAATAGAGAAGCACGGGGTGAACTGGAAGGACGTGGACTTCCTCATCTTCAACACCTACGTATGGTGGATGAACACTTTCTCTATGAAAGTTCTGTAAGTACCAGATCTCTCTCACTCACTCGCCCTTTTCTTTTCTTTACTCCAAGTATCGTACTTTTCAAGCAATCTCATCAACAAACAACTTCTCTCGTTGGACCGTACACGTGACGCGACAGACGAGGCTCGTTCGATGAAGGGTCCACTGAATACGATGAAGTCTCTCGGCCAATAGCATATGGGAGAGTTCTGAAAACATGGTCGAAATGGGTGGACGACAACATTGATCCAAATCGTACTAAAGTTTTCTTCACCAGCATGTCACCTCTTCATATCAAGTAATCCTCGAATCTTAGTTTCAACTTTTAAGAACCTGAATCGAGATTAAAGAGCTATATCATGTTATCCTGAAGCAAATGAATTTGCAGGAGTGAGGATTGGAATAACCCAGATGGGATAAAATGTGCGAAGGAGACCACCCCTGTTTTGAACACGACGACCCCGCCGGAAGTGGGTACGGATCGCCGGCTTCTCGTGATCGCCAACAATGTGACCCAGTCGATGAAGGTGCCGGTGTGCTTCATCAACATCACCACCTTGTCGGAGTTTCGAAAAGATGCGCATACATCTGTGTATACGATCCGCCAAGGGAAGATGTTGACTCCGGAGCAACAGGCCGACCCGACTACTTATGCGGATTGTATCCATTGGTGCCTACCAGGGTTACCCGACACGTGGAATGAGTTCCTTTATGCACGTATAATCTCTCAATCTTGACATTCAGACGTACGTACATATATATATCTTCACGTATTCCTTTTTTTTTTTTTATAGCAACTTCACGTAATTGGCATTGAAATGCTCTTTCAACTCATAAGAAAAAGGCTTCAACTTTTGTTTTATCTGTTTTAAGTTCTTGTAATCCAACCCCCTCCCCACAAAGGGTATCTTCTTCTAGCTTTCGACTCTTCAAAATTGAGCTATAAGATTTGGAATTTTGATTTCCCCCCCCCCTCTCTTTCAATTTTCCTTATGTTTATTTGTCTTGCCAGTCTGACTGAGGCCGAAGAGCAAAGGAACACCTAAGTTGTACAATGTTTATGAAGAGAAATAAAGCAAGTACGTACATACTCGAGTAAAAACCCAAAAAAAAAAAAAAAAGTTGCCCTTGGTTTTATGGCTTGTAATTAATTTGTTCTCAAGCTTTCTTTCAGTGCAATTATATGGTATTTGATATTAAGTAAGAATTAGTCTAAATTCAACTATATTATCAAGCCAAGGTGCTTTAATAATTAAAAGGAGAAAGGTGAGAAATTTATTTCCAAGCCTGTAAAAAGCAAGTAAAATTTAGTAAATGTCAAATAATATTTTTAAAGATAAAATAAGAATGTACTTAAATTAAAGTAAGATGAGATAGGTGTATTTATCTAACTACCTCCATGTGTAAGAGAGATATGTGAATTGGGATTGTTAATCACAGCAAGTTAGTGCTCCTGATAGCATATCTAGCAATAGTATTTCCAAACAACATTCTTATTTTTCACCCCATGTCAAATAGCTCATTAAATTCTAAAAATTCATGGATCATTAGGAAGCTAGCTAGGTGAGTAGTGAGGCATTGTATAAAATTTACTCCCTTTGTTAAAAACATTTTTAATCAAATTATATTCTCAATTTAAGTGGTTATGTACATTTTAAAAAATGATGCTTTAAAGGCATATTTTCTTTTTTCTTTCCTCTATATAAATGAAAAAACAAAACAAACTATCAAACAGAAAGCTAAAAGTCCTCCATGAATGAAGGAATAGAATCACTAGCCCATGAGGAGAGATAAGGCATGTTTAGCTAAGGAATCAGCTTCTGTGTTGAACTTCCTTGCAAGGCAAATCATATCAACTTGCCAATCTCTTTGAAGTAATTGTTGAATCTCTATAATAATCTCTCGATCCTCATGAAGATCGTAATTAGTAGCTCTTAACAAAGATAATGCTTCATGACAATCACTATAGAGTCTTACATGCTTGGTTTTAATATCCCAAGCACGCTGAAGTCCTATATAGCATGCTCATAGTTTCGCCATCAAATTATCACCCTTCTCTAATCGGAACATGAAAGCTTCAATGGCATTCCGTTTGGTATGCTTAACTAGTCCTCCACAACCTTTAACATCCGTAGAAACCACAAAAGCTCCATCAACATAAATAAAAAGCTCATTAGTAGTCAAAGTATTCATATCTGCCTATATAGTAGGACAAATGCCAAATATAGATGGATTTTGTATATGAAGGTTAGCCCCTTTCATGCAAATAAGGATAGTAGTAGTTTGTGTAATGACACTCACCGACGTTGATCTACAACCTAAAAAAACTCTCTTATTTCTACGCTTCCATATAACCTAACATAGAATAGCAAATATATCACACTACTTGGAATTGTTAACTTCCACCTGTATCTTAAGATTCATCTTACACCATTCATGCAAGTCTACAGTAAATAAAGCTTGTCTTTAAGAAGGCCGTATCAATTTCATCTACACTTGCTTAGCTTCAGGACACTGTCTTATCACATGTAAAGTGTCTTCAACCTCCCTAAGGCAACAACTACACCACAGTTGATTGCTCAAATGACAGTCAAAATGAGACTTATTGATAAGGATACAGTCATGACTCATGAGCCAAAGGAAAGATCTATAACGTTGAGGCACTCGAAGTTTCCAAATCTTAATCCATCTCTGATCAGGGCAAGCATAACTACCTATTAAGAACTCATAAGCAGATCTAATTATAAGTGTACCATGCTTCTCTAGTTTCCATCTAACAGCCACCTCATTCATATGGTTATTCGTGAATTCTACCCTAGCTTGGACTTTTTCTTAATTGTTTCTCAAACGTCTCCAGAACTGAGATCCAAGGCGAGTCCTATTTACTTATGGTATTAACTCCCTCCCACATTTGTACTTACTCCTGATGACTATAGCCTATAAAGCCTCCTTGTTATGAAGTTGTGTGTGTCTCAATCCAAGGCCACCATTTCTTTTTAGTTTACACATTTCATCCTAAGTAACAAGATGAATCTTTTTTCTTTCCCCAGTCAAACCCAATAGAAAACCATGAGAACATTTATGAATCTTCTCATAAGTACTCACAGGAAGATGAGCTATTTGCATACAATATAAAGGAATGGTACTCAACACAGACTTTGTTAGAGTTGTTCGTCCTATAAAAGAGATAGAAGTATCCTTCCAACTAGAGAGTTGTTGCTTCATTTTATCCACCATAAATTGATAAGTATTTTTAGTCACACGATTATGATAGAAAGGGACCCTAAGATATTTACCTAGATCCACCGTATGGTTAAATTCAAGTAAGTCATAAAGATGCTGTGCTCTATTATGATTCACATTCTTAGAGAAAAATATCCTAATTTTAGAATGACTTACCTTCTATCCAAACATTGCACAAAAACATTCAAGACACTATTTAATCATCTGCACTTAGTTTACAGCCACTTCTGCAAATATAATAAGATCATTAGCAAAGAAAAAATGGGAGAGAAGAGAACCATCTTTATTTAAGCGAATAGGCCTCTAAGTATCTTTAACAATCTCTGCTTGTATCAGATGAGCAAGTTTTTCAATACGTAATACAAAAAGATAATAAGAAAGAGGATCTCCTTGATGAATGCCTCTAGTCAATTTAAATTCTTCCGTTTTGCTTCCTTTCTATAAGATTTGCATCCTAGAAGATTTCACATAATGCCGAATAACATCAATCTTGGCAAATTAATCTTCTCAAGGCATAAGATAAGAAAATCCCAATTAACTCTGTCATAAGCTTCTTCAAGATCAATCTTAATCACCATAAAACCTTTCTTTCCTTTCATATTACACATAGAATGAATAATTTCTCGAGATATAATGATATTATCTAAGCTAGTTCTTCTTGAAATAAATTAGGAGCAATAATATTAGGAAGAAGAGGTTTAATTTTTTTAGTAATAACCTTAGTTACAACTTTATATATAACATTACAAAGGCTGATAGGACGAAAATCATGAATGGTCTCAGGATGGTCCTTTTTCGAAATGAGAACAAGCAATGTCCTATTAATATTATAGATAAGAGAAAGGTCCTTGAAAATTTGCTTAACCATATTCATAACAGGATTACTAATATACTTCTATTGGCTTTGAAAAAAAAAGCCCATTCAAACTATCCAGATCCAAAGATTTCAAAGAACCCATACTAAAAATAGCATTCTTAATTTCTTCATCACAAAAATTACTACCTAACTCATGCAAATAGCTAATGCCAATACAAGGGAAGGATATAAAATAGGGAGTAGAATTACCCATAGTGAGAACTGAATCTTCACGAAAAAGGTTATCTAAAAATGACAAAGCAATAGCCTTGATCTCCTCAAAATCATATATTCACTCACCATTGTCATTTTGAATGGCCTCAATTATGTTCCTCTTCCTTCTAGCATTAGCTCGAGCCTGAAAATATTTAAAGTTTCTATCCCCCAAAATAAACCAATCACACTTAGCTTTTTGAGCTGAAAGCAAATCTTCTTGGAGAATAACTTCTTCAAGTTCTTACTAAAGCTTCTTTTGAAGAAGCTCAAGGGATTCAGCATTGTAGCACGATTTCATTAAGTTATTAAGCCCTTTAATTTTGTTGAGAAGATGACGTTTCTTTCTATTGATATGCCCAAAAACATCATGACTTCACTAGTTGACTGTAATAATGAAGTTATTAACGTTAAGATGTCAATCTTCATTTAGTTTCCAAGTCTTGTTCACCAATCTTAAAATCATCATGGAGGACCTAAGCTGCATTGAATTTGAAAGGATGATCTTTATTCTTTATAACATTACTTTGGTCAATCAATAAAGTAATAGGGGACGGTGATCTAATTTGAAGAAAAGGAGGTGAGTAACAACTGCTTCAAGTAAGAAGTTTTAAAACTTTCATTACTTAGCACTTTGTCAATCCTACTCTCACTTCTTACTCGCTTTCACGTGAAGTAGGGACCTTTACGACCTAAATTTGACAACTCAAGCTCCTCAACCCAGGAACAGAACTCTTTATTAATGCTAGCTTCGATCTGATGCGATAATTTTTTGTCATACATAAAAAGAGTACTATTAAAGTCTCCTCCAATACATTAAGCCCCTATCATAGAAAGATTAATTCTTCTTAATTCTAACTAAAAGACTTTGTGTAGAATAGGGTTAGGACTAGCATATACAGTTATAATAAAAAACTCATAGCTACTATATGTAAGTTTAGAATGAATAAATTGATCATGTTTCTACAAAATGTTAAACTTTCAAGAAGCATTATTCCATAAAACCTATAAACTACCGCTGAAACCTCTAGCATCCATGACTTTAAATTTTTAGAATCCCATCAACTTCACTAATCGTTAGGCCTTATTACCACCACTCCATGTTTTAATCATAGCAAAAAAATTCACATAATGCTTTTTCAAAATTTCCTTAACCAAGATTGGAAAGGATTTTGAACCTATCCTCTGCTACTCTAGAATACAAAATTCATTAAGACATATTAGAAAAGAATGAGCTTCAGTGCTTAAGAAAAGTCTCCCATCTCTAGAATCCTCCTTATGGTTTTTATCTTCATGCATGACAACTTCAAAAATCATGTAGCATTCGTTGTCTTCGACTGCATGTCTCGCATTTATCCTATCAACCATAACATCATCATACTCCTTTTCCCTTATGATAATCTTGTCTTCCTTCTTCTTTATTTGGATAAGCTCTTAGGGAGCTTTTAAGGAAAAGTCTTTACTTGGGCCTACATGCACCATCATTCGGCCTAAATTATTCTTTCCTACATCTTGAAGCCCATTATCCAATGCCCTAAAAGTATTTGAAATTTTCAGGCCTATATTACAATTTTCTCCATTCTTCATCACGTGTAGCTTGACTCGATTAGCAGGAGGAGTATTCGCTTTCCCTTTGACTTTCACAATTAGTGA